GATAACAAATAATCCTGTGTTTGTCAGGTGGCACTAATCTGTGAAAGATCAAACCATGTCTCTGCTACGTCTGTATCGTGTTTGTCTCCAGACATTTTGCATAGCAGAAGGAAAACAAACAGCAGGGAATGGAAATGGAGCAAGTGTGTAAAGTTCAACGCAAAGTGTAAGCACAGAGCAGATATCGAGGCAACAAATTGGGATTTACGGTCCTTTCACTACCACCAAACACTGGGGGATAGGTTTTTTGTGAGGGAGGGAACCCTGACATTACTTGCCTTTGGTTCCCGTTGTTGGGATTATTGTTTTAAGCCGTGCTTAATTGTCATGTCTCCACGGCCACATCAAAAGCCAAAAAGATTAGGTTACAGGGAGTGTTTGATGTCAAAACACAAAATAAATAAAACGAAAGCTGAAAAGGTAGAGTATTTTCCATGACGTCTAGTGAGGTTTTTGCCTCAAACATTTTTTTACTTTTTTTTTTTTTTAATTTTGCAAAGGTTGCATTTCTAGTGACAAGATATCATTTACTTACTTCCAAATGACTCTACGGCTTTCCTGCAACAGCTTGAAAGGGTTAATAACCCCGCTTTGATGGCAAACATGGTATAATTAACGCAAACTTCTTAAGTATCCCAGTGACCTGTAGATGGCCACATGAGAATTTTGTTATTTACTGAGTTGCCAAACGTTTATTGCTTATAGCAGGACAAGTGGGAAGCAGGCATTAATTTTGATGCTGTTATCTGTGATTGCATGTAAAGTTCATAGCAGAGAGTGCCTATATGTCAACTGCAATTAAACATTTCCCTATTTTTTTAATGAATTTCACGTTGGTGGAGGGTGTTGGACTGGCAGCTTTGCAAACTGAAATTCTGCCCATCCACAGAGCAGGCACGACACAGCCAGACACAGGACAACTTCCCCTTACCTGCAGGCTGCAAAAGAAAACAGTCTGGCGCCATGGAGCATTTGATCCTTGGCTTCTCCACAGAGACAGTCAAATCAGTACCAACTGTGGTAGGGCACGGAGGGAGATTTTGTGGTGCGACATCTCCCCTTGGAAACCAGCCTGAAAAACACAAAAAAACGAAGCCAAATGTGGCCTTCAGGTGAATATGTTCATTTATCACCAACCTGGACTGGATTAGAATGCATGACCTAGAAGTAAAATGCTTTGTTTAGCCCAACTCCCTGGGCCATCTGGTCCTTGCAAGTAAACATTTCTAAGTGAGATTAAGTGACCGTTCTTTAAGCGTGGTGATATGAGTGCAAACCAGGCTGCTCTGGATCTAACAGATCAAACCTCAGCATCAGGGCAGCCGGCTGGTGCCGATTCAGAAACACCATTTGCTTGAACAGCTTTGGGTGCAATTCTCCGTGGTGTTGGCTTTGCAGTCAATCCTGATTCAGTCTGATGTGTTCCTGTCAGATCCAGAACTTGTCCTAAATCCAGGGCTCAGATTGCACCAAGGTGCTGCTGCGAGGTCGAGGGCCCCATCAGAGGAAACTCATGGGAGAGACTGCAGGAAGAACTACACTGCATTTGCAATAAGAACCAACTTGCATTTCTGAGCA